CCAATGGCCACTCAAGGTAGGATGTTTACTGTGTGAAGTTATATTAGTGTAAGAAAGAGAAGGAAGTTACATTTTTTTTTGGGGGGGGGGCTATGCAGGAAAGATAACATCTAATTCTAGATTTGACGATGTCAAGATTTAATTAGTGAATGAAAGTATAGTTAGAAGTATAGAATTTAAATCGACTTTACCAAGAACCGTAAAATCAATCGTAAACAGAAAACAGGCGATAAATCTTTACTGCTATTCAAAAGACCTGGGATAGGCAAACCTATCTACTCCTGTTACAATATGTATATCAAAACAAGTTTTAGAAGAATCTGTTAAATTGTTTATTGTAATTTTTCGATTTTCGCATAAGGTGTTGTGCATTGATACAATTTAGGGATAAGCCAAATTTTATTACAATATACAACACCAATGAGGATCTTGCCAAAGATCATCCTTCTTTGAACACTAGGGACTGGCGCTACATAATCACAAACAAAGAACTGCACCAAATAACAAAAAACACATCACTTGAGGATTCCTAACAGCAACAACAACTAAAATGGATAGGACGTCTAACTCGGGAAGGGAATAATGACCTAATCACGAGAAGCTGACGTTTCACACACTACTTCAAATAAAAAAATTAAAAAGAACCCCCCCCCACACACACACACACACCAATACTGGAACGTTTGGTTTATTTTGTTTTACGGATTATCAACCTCAACGGATTATTTAATGGCGACAACATTTTTTTTATTGCTGGTAATATTTTTACCAAAAATGTATTGCTGGTAATAATGTATTTCTGGTAATAATTTTTTCTAAAAAAAAGTATTTCTGATATTTAAGCCTATTTTTACACTTCCATAGTGTTTTGAACCCAGTTTAGGGGTTAACTATTTGCCCATAGCTGGGACCCTAACAGGTGCTACCATTCCGGGTCAGGGTGGACCTGGGAACACCAGCAATTAAGAGATAGTTCCATGCTCCTTAAAACCTCCTGATCAAAGGCCTTGTTGTTGGACGTAGTTTATCGTCTTACCCAGGACGCGGATGTAGTTTATCGTCTTACCCAGGACGCGGATGTAGTTTATCGTCATACCCAGGACAGAATACTGGAAGGAGCGATAACGGACTTTGCTATGGGTGTCACGGATAGCGCCAAATTTGGTCAGAAATATCTAAACTGTCAGCTGTATACAACCGCTTCCTAAGATCAATGGTGACAAAAAGGTTTTGGGTGAGTGAAGCCTGGGGATCTTATCAAAGTTCATACTTCTTTGGGCATTGTAAACTACCGCTAAAGAACTGTAACAAATAACAGAAAATACATCACTTGAGCTCTTTCCAGATTCTGTCGAAGGGATTGGCAGAGGAGGAGATGAGGAGTTTTCCTGTTGGAGCAGATATTGCGGTTGTAGTATCTGTTCCGTGCCGGAGGCCTTCTCTCTTCACTTGCGTTACCCCGACGGTTGCGTGACATCTGTTACGTAGCGGTGACCGGCTATGACTAGCTTAGACAAGTTTTGACCAGCTTACACAAGCTATGACCAGCTAAGACCAGCTTAGACAAGCTTTGACCAGCTTAGACAAGCTATGACCAGCTTAGACAAGCTTTGACCAGCTTAGACAGGCTTAGACAAGCTTAGACCAGCAGCCAAGTGCAAACACTCAGGTCCCCACGTTAAAAACCAACCTGATTCAGTGGTGGGGGAGAGGCATGTAAATCTCGAGCTACCAATAGCAGCAAGAAATAAAATAGATGGCACATGGTAACTCGAAGAGAAAATAATGGCATAAAGAAGGTGTTGATCTTCCACAACGCTACAAACAGAAAGTTAGGAAGGAAACTCCCATCAATAATGGAAAGACCGATAGCAACAACAAGACTTGAGACACCCGTTTTCACAAAAAATTGTTTTAAGAGAAAGATTTTATAAATTTCAACCGAAAACAATACTAGCTGCTCGGTCACTGAATTCCAAATGTGTCCTTATAAGGAAACGGCTTATATTACTATAGTTATTGCCATTATTCGAAAATTGGAAAAATGCAATAAAAACTGAACAAATCGACATTGTCGGTGCTTTTTAATTAAACTTTCTGCCGAAATATACCATGACTCCGGCTGATTGGCATTTGTTTACATTCGTAAAAACAATATGCTAGATTTAGCTGTTTCATTCTGACGAATGAAGATAACTCAGTGGTAGAAGTTCTGACTGACGCCAAATCGGTTGGGTTTCTATCTTGACTTGAGGCATTTGGATGTCTAATCGCACTGTGGTGCTGCGAAACAGTACTAAATGCGAATGATATTTAAGCGTTTCACCCCAAGCAAGGCTGGAAGCCACTAGGATGCAAGGGGTTACAGAAGATTTGGAGCAAGATCAGGTAGGAGTGATAGAGGAAAGGATGATGAGAAGGATAGTGGATAGATCAAGGCAACTGGAGATGTCGATTGACATTACATTTGAATAGTTGGAGATTATAGCTCTCAGGGAAACTGGAATAGGGAAGTGAATTCCACAGGCGAGAGGTGCGAGACAGGAATCTATTAGAGTAGAAAAGACGGCTACATTTAATAGTTTCAATAGTGAAAGGGTGAGAGCGGGATGGGGGCGTTTGAATTCATGAAGTCTGGGAACCAGCGAATGCAGCTCCTCGGAGCAATTAACATGAAAGTATATATATATATATATATATATATATATATATATATATATATATATATATATAAACCTAGTGTATGTAGGTTTATCTAGGTCTGCTCTACGGTTGTATTGAGCTCTTTTGTTAGTTACTTGTTTACTCGTGTCGGGGTTTTTTTCTTGGGGCTTCAAACCTGTATCTGTGCGATTTTTTTTCGATAGACTTTCATGTTTTTAGCTCTTTCTTTTTGTAAAACCTTTGTTTTTCTTCGAGATTGATTTGATTATTGGCAAATCAAAAATTCGAAGGTTTTTCGAAACGAGTATAGTTACCTATATTTATATATGTATATATATGTGTGTGTGTGTGTGTGTGTGTGTGTGTGAATGAATGAATGAATGAATATCGGGGGGGTTCCTTATGAGGAAGCGGATAATATTAATATTACCCCCTAACTACTGAATAAGAATAATTATGGACTCAAGCCCTGTTCTACACAATAATAATGCTTTATTTTTGCTGCACGGGAACAAGGCATGCTAACTAGAAATTAACAGGCACATATACTGAAAAATCGTGTTTACCCGAAATGCAGATTCTGGGATAAATATCCACAAACAACTGGTCATTTTATATCAGGTTGCACGGTGTTAGCAACCACTGAATATAAAACTCGGCATGATAGAATGGGCCAATATATGCGCTGGAAAATAAGCAGCTTTTATGGGAATGAAACAGCAAGAAATTGGTATGAACATCACCCAGACCTGGTTACAGAGATAGGGCCTGTAATAATTTTATGGGACTTTAAAATACACACAGACAAAACAATCAAAACTAATCGACAAGACATCGTGATGTTGAAAGACCACACAAACAGAATGTGAATGTACTTTCATATTTATATGGCAGTTCCTGCAGATAGCGTTATATCTTTGAAGATCTTCAACAAAATGCATCAAAGTACAAGGCTCTTGAAGGGGAAATCTAAAAAATGTAGCACATGATGACCCCAATAATTCCAGCTGTAGTTGAAAAGGTCCCGATAGACTCATTGAAGGGATTCCTGGTAGCCCATGCCTTAAAGAGGTACAAAATATTCTACTCACAAGTACTGCTGACATATTACGAAGAGCTTTATACATGTATAATGTGTGTCATCTTAATTTTTTTTTTGTTTTTTGTTCTGTTCTTTTTTCAAAAATGATCAGTGAAAAATGACATGAAGCCATTTCTGACTTTCGAAAGGAAATGTGTATACAACAGAAATCATTAATAATAATAATAATAATAATAATAATAATGATAATAATAATAATCCTAAATGATGTCATGACTTTTTGATACTCTCATGGGTCATCTTGTATCAGGTTGCACGGTATTGGCATCTACTGAATATAAAACCCGGCACGAGAGAGTGGGCCAATATCTGCACTGGAAAATCTGTAACGTCTACGGGAAGGAAACTGAAAGAAATTGGAATTTACATCACCCAGACCCGGTTACAGAGATAGGACCTGTTACAATTTTATGGGACTACACAGTGGACACAGACAGGACAATCAAAGATAAACGCTCAGATATTGTTATTAAAGACTGCAAACAAACAAAAAAGTACCTCCTTATTGATATGTAAATTCACAATACTTATCGGGGATCAACTCGAAGTTTCGGGATTTCTCCCTCGTCAAGACTCGGATAAAAACGATTGTATTAATAGCAGTAGGTCCATATTATTAATTTAAAAAAGCACATTGGTATACAGCAGCTTTCAAATTATTTTTTTTTATCCTTACAATTACTCAATCTCTTAAGTACTCTGCAACAGCTAGAAGACCAAATATTACGAGCAGTCTTCAGGCAGAATATATAAGAAATTAAGCATTTAATTTCTTATGCCTGATTAATATTTTATCTTGCTCTGAAATTTAGTTTATATTATATTACATTAAGCATTTTTGTTAGCTCACAGAATTATTCAAGTTCAGCTGCTAAACTACGATTCTAATAATATCATTGAGCTTATACAGGGTGCAATGGATAAATTGTCGTCTAAATTACGCTAAAATGAAAATGACACTAACATCTCATTTTAACAGATATATTAATGAAAATATTTTGAAATACTTAAGAGTAAATTTATTCAATAAAATCGCCATTGTCTTCAGCTTCAAGACGACTTTGGAATCTCCTGCATCTCTTCTGGATGGTCTCCTTGTTTAAGTTGGTGAATGCTGACATAATCCTTGACTTCAATTCATTTTTGGTGCTACGAGAAGTTTTATTAGTCTCTATTTTAACTGCACCCAACGCATAAAAATCAATGGCATTATAGTTTGGGGAGGTCAAATGTAAGGGGTGATGTTGCTGCAGAAATTGTCCTCTAGCCATGACTGGGTTCTCCTGCTTGTGTGACATGGTGCAGAGTCCTTTTGCCAGGCATAGGGTCTTCCAACAGCCACCCTCTTGACACAGGCCAGCATTACCTTGTCAAGGCACTTGATGTAGGCTTCCGTGTTAATTCTAAGTCCCTCACCAACAAATTCAGGAGTTCTTTTCTTGTCAGAACGATCCGAGTGTGTTTTCCAAGCTCCCGTACCTTCGTAATCACCATTAGACTCATCCAACTCTTTCCAAATCCTCTGCGCTGTCTTCAGATTGACACCGTGTTTCTATCTTGACTTGAGGCATTTGGATGTCTAATCGCACTGTGGTGCTGCGAAACAGTACTATATGCGAATGATATTTAAGCGTTTCACCCAAACACTCTGAAATGTTTGTGTTGGAGCTTCCGGCCCGAACCCCAAGCAGTACAGCATGCCGTTTCCAAATTTCTGGCGGAGTGAATTGTGTCATTGTGCTCTTTTTCTCAGAGACATTGTCCAATTAACGCTACTATACTGTGCAGTCGACAAAATCAAAAACAAACTACGCGCATGCGTGAAGTTAAAAATGTAAAATGGAGACAATTTACCCATCGCACCCTATATACAAGACAAACTCTTGAGTAAAAATTAGTTCAAAAGGGTTTTTTTTTTCAAAATCGAACAAAAAGCTTTGTCACTTTCAATATTATTACGTTTTTGCAGCTAGCGATTAAGTTGTTGATCATGTTGATAGAATTTTTGAAAAAACTATCGAAAATTTGTTTTTGTTCATCTAATTCCGACTTTTTCTTGTTATTGTCAAGAATATTAGTGTTATGTGTTACAGATATAGATATATATATATATATTTTTAGAGTCATATATTTTTTAAAAAGTCTGTTATCCACAAACTGGAAAAAATAACTGAACAAATTTGAAGATAGATCGATAGATAGATTCAGACATAGATAGATAAATAGATAGATAGATAGATAGATAGATAGATAGATAGATAGATTCAGGCAGCTATAGATATAGACAGAGTGTGATAGATAGATAGATAGATAGATAGATAGATAGATAGATAGATTCAGACAGCTATACATATAGACAGAGTGTGATAGATAGATAGATAGATAGATAGATAGATAGATAGATAGATAGATAGATAGATAGATAGATAGATTACTTTTATAATGAGTTTTAAAAAAAAACATGAGAAATAGCTAATGGATTCTAACGCTTATCTCATCTTCGTTTCCATTTCGAGCAAGCCTCGCTTCTGCACTGGTTTTAATGCTGCAGTCAGAACCCAACTTAAAAATATCAACATCAAGACTATTTATCTTCTGTAGTTGTCAAAGAAATGAACGTCCAAACTTAGCTTATTTGTAATTGATACATCTTAATAAAATAAACTCTAAAGACTTAGAGTTACACATGCGCGCACACAGAGACACAATCTTATATAGAAGGTGCGCTTGTGGCTTAGATATCGTTAATTTTATTCCTTTTTTCAGAAAGATTCTGAGTTTGAATATCCCAGATGTTAAAGAAGTATTATTTCACATCGATGGACTAACATTTGTGTACATATAAATTCTTTCTTACATCATAATAGATAGATAGATAGATAGATAGATAGATAGATAGATAGATAGATAGATAGATAGATCTAGACTGGCATAAAAATTAACAGAAGAGATTAGAATAGAATAGAATAGGAGAGAATAAGATAGATAGATAGGTAGATAGATAGATAGATAGATAGATAGATAGATAGATAGAAATAGAGAGATAGACAGAGAGACAGACAGAGATACATACATACATACGTATATGCATAAATACATAGGCAGAATGAGATAGATGTAGACAGCTATAGATTTAAGCAGACTGTGAAAAATATAGATAGATAGATAGATAGATAGATAGATAGATAGATAGATAGATAGATAGATATGAGTATACTGAAATAGATAGATAGATACATACATGCATACATGCATTGCATACATATATAAACAGAATGAGATTTAAACAGCAATAGATTTAGACAGATTTTGAAAGATAGATAGATAGATAGATAGATAGATAGATAGATATGACAAGACTGAAAAATAGTTTTTTGGGGGAATAATCGGAATTATTTGCGAAATCCAGCGAAAGTCACCCATGAAATCAAAATAGTTGTTTGTACGGAAAGTAAGGACCTACGTACATCAACATTTTAAGAAGTAAACTTAAATATTGATGCAATACTTAAATGCAGCGATCGATTTTGAGTTCTTCTGTAGTTTATTGTTGCCTATCACATATACTCCTCCCTACCTGTTGTGATGAAGACTCAATCAAGTGCCCTCCACAGAAGCTAGATTAAACACTGCTCAATAAGGCAATTTTTTAAGCTAGTTTTAAAATAAAAAAAAAATAGTGGGATTATTAAAGGGAGATAATTGCGGATTTGAAGTCAAAAATTATCATTGATAACTCTCTCCTCCAATTTGCAGAGCCTAGTTACTATAACATAATATTACTATATTAATGCTTGATATAATACAAAAATATCACACTGATAAAATCGGTCAATAATTATCTATAATGATTTATACGGGGACTCATGCATACACTTACAAGTAATCCATAATAATGTTTTTAATTTTTGGAATCATATTTATTTTTGGCATCTGAATTTTTGTAAACTGTTTCTAAATCTTTGATTGTCTTTCAATCATTCCGCCTCACCTGCTATCCTCTTCCGCCGCATATACGAGGCTCGTCGCACCGTTTGGGAACAACCAGGCTAAGCAGTTTAGGACAGGTTGGAACTGAAGGATTTATTCTTACTGCACAAAACCAGAGACTGCTTACACGCATCTACATGCATAATAGTACGGACTCACAACGTTGTGGCCAAAACATTGAAATTATTGATCATCTAATCTCAGGTTGTTCAGTATTCACACGCGATGAGTACAAAAACCGTCATGACAGGGTAGGTCAATATCTTGACTTTAAAGATGGAATGTTGGTACCATTACTGAAGGCTTGAATGATCTTTTTCCTCTCACCATTGCTCATTTGGGAAGACAGTGAGGATGACTCAAAACGATTTTAACCTGTTCTCTTTTTAGCTGAATAACTCAAAGGATTTTTCATTGATTCTTACGGCAAATGGTGTTAAGTTGAGTAAACCTGGAAAAATGAAACTCAATTAGTTTAGTGTTTTTCTCGATATTAAACATTTTGTAGGATGAATAATTATACTGTTACACGATTTGGACAATTTTGCTGTCACACCCGGTACTTATAAATCTACCGGGTGTGACGGAGCTGTCAAAAATACTAGTGCTGTCAAAATCGACGGCATGACGGCAATTGTTAGAAAGTTTGAATAATGAGATACGATTAAACAAAAACCTTAAAACTATGTATTGAGATTCAATAACGCACATATAAAGATTTCACAACTAACATAAAGGACAATGAGCCGCTTAATTAATTAATCTGTTCTCTTTATATATTTAGATGTTCTCTAATATCTCTTGCTTTTATATAAAACGCTTTATGCTCAATATCTTTTCATGTTAAAGATTTTAAGTGTTTAGAATAACAGTGAAACGTAAATATCTCTTAAGATATAAAAGATTAACAACGGAACGACAAAGTATTTATCAAGATCAATTTGAAGCAAGACGATCGCTTGATAAACGAATGTATCTGAGCGCTTTACATAAAAGGTTTGAACAAATAAGACTAGATTGCCATCGAAAAAAAGTAGGAATAAAGGAACTGCTTAATTAAACGGTTCATTTTGCACGGGAATATTTTGTCTAAATGCAGATAAATATTTTATTTGTTTAGATTATTAAAACAACAAAGTAAGTAATTACTCATTAATTTTCTAAGTTAAATTGATTTATCACCTTTTCACGACAGATGGGACAAGAAATAAATACATATTGATAATTATTATATGGTTTGATATATATATATATATATATATATATATATATATATAGGGTGACCCCAAAAAACGGGAATTTTTGAAGTGCGTATTGCCAGACATGAGCAAGTGGCAACACTGCGAGACAGTGACCTTGAGCAAGTAAACATTTCGCCATTTAGAATTCAAGATGAAATTCACAGTATCCCAGCTGAGATGTTGCAGCAGTCAACGAGGAATCTCAACAGCAGATTTCAAGAATGCATTCGTACAGGAGAACGCCGTCTACAGGACGTAATTTAAAAAAAAAAAATGAAAATTCCATCAATGTTTCTTAAATGGCATGTTTTAAGGTTTCAATTATTATAAATAAAATATTTTTCTTCCATCACTCTTGGTTTTATTGGATTGTTAAAAAGTTCCCATTATTTTTGGTCACCCTATATATATATATATATCAGATGTAACAGCGAAATTGTCCAAATAGTTTTGCAGCATAATTGACCATCCCACAAAATGTTTAATTTCTAAAAAAAAAAAGACAATAAACTAATTGAGTTTATTTTTTTAGATGTTTTCAGATAAGACGTTAAGCCATTTTGACGCCATTTGTTGTAATCACTGAAAACCCTTTGAGTTATTCAGCTAGAAAAAGAACAGGTTAAAACGTTTTGTGTCAGCCCCGCTCTCTTCACAACTGAGCAATAATGAGAGGAAAATATCATTCAGGCCTTCAGTAATGGCACCAACGTTCATATTCTGGTTTCTATCTTCAAAGTCCGTTCAAGACCCATCAAGACTACGGTGAATAAGCCTAAAAAGTCAGATCAGTAGAAAGGAAAATTTGAGAGAGAGATCGCAACAAGAAGAGGGATCATCATTCCAACTTAGAGCTAAAGAGATTCAATCCATAAGACGTTTGGCCCGTGAGAGAGGAGTTTTAGATATTACAGTCCAAGGAGAAATGAATAAAGTACGTGAAACGTGTGAGGCACCTTGTTACTCTAGGACAGAGCTTGTATAAGTTGGAATATGAAGAAAT